TTGTCATATTGAACATTATAAAGTCTTGTGTTGGCGAGTTGGCAAAAGGCACTTGCAGCCAAGCCTGACAACCTGAATTGGTTCCCCAGGACCCACGTGGAAGGAGAGAACTGACTCCTGAAAGCTGTCCTCTGACCTCCACATGCCTACACACATATACAGATACACTTGATAAAGCATTTTTTAAATCAGAACTTTGTAAAATTCATATCTACCATGTCTCCAGCCAAACAACTTTCATAATTTCTCACAAAATGATCACATTAACAAATGCTACTTTTGTCAGGCCTAGTGACACAGGCCAGTAATTCAGATGCTCAGGAGGCTGAGGGAAGAGGATCACAACTTCAGGATATCCTGTCTCAAAATAAAAAAATACAAAAGAGAAGTTGAGCATGACGGCATACACCTTCAACCCCAGCACTTGGGAGGCAGGTGGATTTCTATGAGTTCAAGGCCAATCTGGTCTGTGTAAGCAAGTTCCAGGCCAACCAGAGCTTAAAAAAAAAAAAAATTAAATTTAAAAAGCAATACAAAAGAGGGCTGGAGGCATAGCTCAGTAGTGGCAAGATGTTTGCCCTGGGTTAAGTCCCCAGTACTGGACCCCAAAACATTCTTTGGTACTGTAATGTGAACAGTCTCACCATTTGGAAGATGTGCATAACTCACCCAAATTTATACCTGATCAACGAATTGTGCTACAAATTCAGGCATGTGTGTAAGATCCACTCAGAGTTTACAACAATAGACTTAAATGTAACTGAGCATGAAAAAAACAAAAACAACTGATAGAACTTCAGGCTACATGTTGCAACTAACTTTAAGAAGGTACCACTTGGTTGCATAAAGATGATGCCTTTAATCCCAACAGAAGCAAGAGGATCTCTGTGAGTTCTATGCCAGCAAAAGGAGGGGAGGGAGGGAAGGCTATTTGTTAAGTTTTGATCTCTTACTAAATAAGAATATCCACAATTATCTGAAAAAGCTATTAAATGCCCCTCCCTTTTCCAACCATTGCCTGTATCTGGCTGGATTTCCTTCCCATGGTATACGTCAACTAAAAATAACATACTGCAACAAACTGAATGCAGAAGCAGAAATAATAACCTATCTGTTTGTATTTAACATTAACGATTTACAAATGTTAAGAATGAGGAAGACCTCAATAGTAGAGGACTTGCCTAGCATGTCATGCACAGGGAGGAGGGAAGAAAAAGGGAAGAGGGAAAGTAAAGGGGAGGAGAGGAAGAGGAGGCTAATTTACAAAAATGTAAAATAATACCACTCTTTTTACTACGTTTTTTGGCTTTTCATTTACAAATGTGTGTTTATATTAATATGCAATGAGTTATAGCTGTCACTGTAAGTGAATTAACAAAATATTTACTTTGTAGCAGAGTAAATATGAATACAACCAAAAGAAAAAATATGGATACTGCAATCATTTTTAAGAGTGTAAAAAAATCCTAAGACCTAGCCAGGCATGGTGGTGCACGCCTTAAATCCCATCACTTGGGAGGCAGAGGCAGGCAGATCTCTGTGAGTTCGAGGCCAGACTGGTCAACATAGTGAGTTCCAGGCCACTGGGGCTACAGGGAGACCCTGTCTCAAAAACACCCAAAAAAAAAGTCCTGAGAACCAAAGTTTGAAAATATCTAAGATGCACAGGCAGGCAGATATCTGTGAGTCTGGGGCCAGCCTGATCTATTATATATCTGGTTCCAGGTCAGCCAGGACTACACCCTGTCTCAAAAAAAAAAAAGACTATTAATGCAGGCTGCACATCTCTAATCTAAAATGCCAGCATCTCAGATTGTGGGAATGACCTTTAATGGACATAATCTGGACTGGTGACTTTTCATTAGCCCCAGCAAAACCATGCACCGTTGAGTCTGATGACTGGGGTATTTCCTTGGCAACCTAAGTTTGGTACTCCACCAAAAAAGAGAATGAATGAATGAATAAAAGTATGCTTGAGAATGAACATATTCAACCTGTATCAAATCCCTGCAAACCAAGAGAACAAGCATACGGAATCACTGGGAAGGGGGGACCATCTTCCTAGGAAAATTCCAGAAAGCCACACAATGTCAGATCAGAACCTTATTCTAAGTAAGATCAATAAAGAAGACAAAACAGAATGTTTAAATTGAAACTATTTTGTATAATCCTGGAAATATCATGCAATGACCTGATGAGATAAACACGTTATGTACCCATTAATATTTATTTTGATACTACCTTCAATAGCAGCATGTGACAAAGAAGCACTAGTAACACACTAGAAAATAGGTGATTAAAATAGCAGCCACCATGAGGGAGACAATCCAAGGTTCTGTCAAAAGGGGCAGGCAAGAACACTTAGGAGCTCTCCAGCAACATCCCAGGACACTCAGCTCAGAGTGTAGCTGTTCTATTTAAAACTGACTTACATGTTTTCAAAACAGGACAGTGAGAGACTACACACTACTTCAAAGAAGAAAACAGATCATAAGGAATTAATCTGTGCTAACACTTCCCAACCAACCCAAAGTCTTCCTTTGGGCAATTACAGGGAGGGGAAGCAATAGCACAAATATTAATACCTACTGAGCACTTACTATGTCCTCTATCTACCCTGTAGAGAAAGCACTATGCTCGTACTAATTACTTAGTATTTAAGATAAACCTAAGGGGTAAACACCATTATCATCTCCATTTTTGGAATTGAGAAAACTGAAGTCAAAAGATATATAAGTTGCCTATAGCTAAGCCAGAACACAAATTCAGCCAATCTGCCTGAGACCCAAGTCCTTAGCTACTATACTACAATACACAGCACAGTAACATGAGGTTTAAAATTCAGTGCCCACTCTAGACCATTTCCAGTGTTTACACTGACACCCACTGCCTACTGGCTGCTCCTACCTAATTTGCAGAGGGCCCTCTCACAGGATCACCATTACCAATCACTACTATTGAACTTTCAGATACTGGAATATTCAAGCAAGAGGAGCAGACTTTGAAGGTGAATACTGTGGAGGACGCTTAAAAACAAAATGCAAAACGTAGAATACAGCAGAAATTACAGAATTTCAAAAGTCTTAGACCTCCTTTTATCTCTATTAAGAGGTAAATCATCACATAGCAATGTACAGATTTTTGAAATTTTTTTATGTGTCTGAGTGTTTTCCTTACATCTATGTAAGGGCACCACATGCATGCAATGCCTGCAGAGGCCAGAAGAGGAGGTGGAATTCCTCTGCAACTGGAGTTACTATAGATTGTTAGCTGCCATGTGGGTGCTGGGAACTGAACTCTGGTCCTCTGCAAGAGCAGCCAGCGCTCTTAGCCACTGAGTCATCCCCTTCAGCCTGGTAGCCAGATTTTCCTAAAAAGAATGCTTCAATTCAAAGAGAAGAGCAAGATGGCACAGCAAGTAAGGGTATTTGCCCCCAAGCCTGACCACTTAAGCTGGATCCCCTGAACCCACATGGTAGAAAGAGAGATCCAACTTAAGTTGGATCCCCTGAACCCACATGGTAGAAGGAGAGAACCAATTTCCCCATGTCCTCTGACCTACACACACACACACACACACACACACACACACACATACATATACGCACAAATAAATGAAAAAGAAAGAAAAACAATGCCTCAATTCAAATCAATTGGAAAAGCTTAATAAAAATTGCTATTACAAGTTTATAAATTAGTGTGCTTAATATTTTGCAATGCCAAACAAGTCTTTGCTTCAGAGTTCAATACAGATTAGTTTTCAATATGTAAATCAAATCAAGGCAAAACTCAGGGGTCATTAAAAATGAAGATATAACTTCATTTTAGAATTTGACGCCAGAAGTGGAATGGGAAACTGAACAAGTCATGAGAAACCCGGGTTGACTAAGGCACTGCCAACTGTCTCTCGGTTAGTCTACAGAGGATATGTTCTCGGATCTTCCAGGGCTTTGGTCTTAACATCTGGCACACGTTTTAAATTGCCTTAAATAAATCATTTCCTTTTTGGTCTACTAAAATGAAAACATTCCACAACACAATTACAAAAATAACTTGCTGACATTCTCAGGAAAAATGAGAGGATTTCTAAGAATACTTTAGAGGTTAACAAAGTGAAAACTCATTTAAATAAAGTGAAAATGAGTGATCAAGATGACTGCTCAAGTTTATTCTAACTACAAATTGCCATGCATTAGAATTAAATACCGTTATAATCCCAAACACCTGAAGACAAGGGGGGAACCAACAGAATAATGCAATGCTAAAGAAATGTTCCGTTATTACCTTCAGACAACTGAGCACACAATGTTAAAAGGCGGATACCGGCTTTAAATTATCAGCATTCACACCGATAACACTATGATGTATCAAACTCCATTCTGCAACAGAAACACAACCAAGCCGTGCTGGGGACTCATGAGCTTACAAGACACAGGACGGAAAACCACCAGAGCCGCGCAAGCGTTTGGGGACGCCGCAGTCATCTGGGGTGATGGTTCAGGTCCAAATCACAGCCCCGGGGACCGGCTGTAAACAGGGAATGCCCGACTGCGCCGTCCCGAGGGCAGAGACGGAGGATTGGGGGCAGAGAGCCAAAGACCGGAGGCACCCCGGGGACCAGAGACTGAGGGCCAGGCACCAGGAACCGGGACCTCCAGAGGCAACCGCGCACAGCGCTGGGCTGGCAGCCGGGCCGGCTCGCGACCCCGGCGACCGCAGCGTCCCGGCCAGCAGGCTGGGACCCGCCAGCCCTGCTCCGGGTGGAGGAGGCTTCGGCCGGGTACCTGCAGACCGGCGAGTGCGGACGCCAGCGCCCTGACCCTGGTGGCTCGGTCCACACCCAGGCCCCTCCCTCGCCCGTACAAACCCGTGTCTCCCGAGGAGCCAGGTGAGGAGCGGAGGAAGGGGCGCATCGCCCCCGAGGACGCCGCTACCCGCCGCGGGCAGCACGGGGAGCCGGGCGGCCGGCAGGACGCGCGGACGACGGCGGGGACGCTCACCGGCTCGGCATGGGCGCTGGCGGGGGCTGCGCAGAACCACCGCACCGGGCTGGGCGCCAGCAGCTGCTGAGGCGCACGGCGGATCTCTCGCGGCGCGCACCCGGTGTTTTCATACAAACCCCGGTGGCAGGAGAGGCGGAGGCGGCGAAGACGGCTGCGGAACCTGCCCGCATCCCGGGCAACGTCAGCGCGGCGCCCCGCCCAACTCACGCCGCGGCCAGCCTGCTCTCGCACGCGCCTCAAGAGCGCATGCGCAGAAAGGCGGAGCGTCCGGAGGGTAGGGCGCGGTGTGTGAAAAGGGAGGGTGCGGGGCGGGAGTATGGAGGAGGGAGGCGGGGCGACAGGGCCAAGAGGGCGGGGCTATGACTGGACGAATTTGTAGCGCGGGCGGGAGGGGCGGGGCTCCAGGATGGAGGGGCGGGGCGAGGGCGGAAGGGGGCGGAGGATTGAGGGGCGGAGCAAGGGGAGGGTGGGCGCGTAGTGGGCGGGGTCTGAAGGGCTGGATAGGGTGTACCCCCGGCTAGTGAAAGTGGACGAATGGGGGTGGCGGCTGCTGTCCGTAGCGCCAGCCTTGCTGCCTGGTTGTGCCACCGCCCAGCAGAACCCAACTCGTGCGCTAGCGGATCTCCACGCTCTTCAATTCACCTTCCTTTTTTTCCCACCCAGAACCACGCCTTTTTCCAGAATTTAACCGGGGCCCGCCACTATCAATCACCTGCTCTCTCAGGAGGCTTTTTTTGAGGCTCCCGACTGTGGCATCTTAATGCCCAATCCCACCCCCAGTCTCATCAAATATTGGTGACCCCTGGTAAAGTTTAGACCTTTCCTAACTCCAAGGAAGCACACAGTACCAGGCTGGGAAGGCTACACTTAAAGCAAGGCTCCCCATCAATAGTGGAACTACACCTTTGTGGCCAAACCCCAATAAACCAGATGTCTAATGCTGCAGCGAACAAAATGCCATGCCTATACATTTTATTTTTACTTTTTTATAACGTGCTAGCAAATAGTCACGAAAACATTGTTGTTAACGTTGTTCAGTAAAGGCAAAGACCTGTCGGAGAAATCTCTGAAACACGCTAGTGTTCTGACTGTATCTAAACGACCTGTGACATATTGTTAATAAATACTGACATTTATTAGAAGGTGTGTAGATCATGTTTGCTGCTGTTTATTGTAGCTGGTAAGGGATGTAAAATTATCACGGTCAGATAAGGGAATAAACTGAGACCTATGGGGTTTTGTGTTCTGTTATCTTGTTTAAGCAAAAGCAGGTGTGAACGCTGTTCAAAATATAATTCAAGGTGCAAAACTGTGCATCATAAGTTTGTTCCAGGCAGATATTTTTACTAAGATGAGCAAGAGCCTGCCATTTTATAAATGTGATTGTTTTCCCGACGTGAGTCCCAAATGATAGATTATAGTATCTAATATATTCTTAAAACAACCTCCACCCAAACCACCCTACTGAAAACATCTGATAATCTAAGAAGACCTAACATTTTTAAATATTTAAATACAAGTAGTGGACATGAAACATTCAAAGAACATGTTCCTAAATGAATCAGCTTACAGTATAGAAAAACATAAATATAAATGAGAATGTGCGTGCAAGTAGAAATTGAATTCCTTGTTAGCAAAGCATTATGATTTAATGGTCAGAACACAGACCCAGAAAATTCACCCTCACTACTAGGTAAGCATCAGTGTCATGGAGCTTTGAAATGGTTGCAAACACATGATTTGCTAAGGAGTGACATGTGTTTAGCTATGATAAGAATGTGGAATGTATATCTCTCTTGCTTTCTCACCAGACCCACATGTGAGCTCCTGACCTCAACTACTAAAATATAAATACATATGGACAGGAGTTGGACAGAAACTTTGAGACCTCAGAAGGTAGCAGCAGTCTTTTCTAAGTACTCCCAAATCTGGTGGTTTCAAGGTCACACTCTGTTGTTTCAAGGCAACACCCTGTAACCTGCAGCTATCTCCAAACCCTTAACCACAGCACTACTTAGGAACAGGGGTCCTCAGTCTACACATTAGATGTCATGTCTCCCCAGAACAACTCTTTTTTTTTTTTTTTTTTTTTTGGCTTTTTTGAGACAGGGTCTCCCTGTAGCCCCAGCTGTCCTGGAACTCACTATATAGACCAGGCTGGCCTTGAACTCACAGAGATCCACCTGCCTCTGCCTCCCAAGTGCTGGGACTAAAGGTGGGTGCCACCACGCCGGGATCTTTCCCTCTTTGAATGCATACCTAAAGGGGGAAAATCTTTGTGTGACAATAAACTGTGTAAAATGATATAAATTAAATATAAAAATCAGGGTGAGGGATAGCTCAGTGATAAAACACATGTTTTGCATATATAAGGCCCCCAGTTCAATCCCAAACACCAGAAAAAAAAATTTTTAATCATCTAATGTGAATCAACCTAAACATATAATGATATTCACTAACTGGGATTGCTCAAATCAGTCTAGTACCTTGTAGATAGCCAAGAAACATTTGCTTATTTCAATCTTAGACTAATCACAGAAGCAGAGAGGTTGGTGTTGGAATTCAGATCTCTCCTTTGTACATAGTGGGCTAGATGTAACATCTTGTATAATGGCAAATGTTTTCCATCTGGTAACCTGTAAATGATGAATCATTCAAAGTGGCAAAAATTGGTCCATGTCTGTCAAGCACTGTACCTTATTTTCTCCATTTATGAAATGGAATTTAAATATTCTTGCCAAAACTGAAGCTTAAATATTGGCATACCTTAATCCACTTATAGGAATTTATCCTAAGGAAATAACTGGAAAAGTACTAGATCTCCTTATAAGAATGCTTTAAAAAAAATTTTTTTAAAGGCCAGCAAGAAGGCTCTATGTGTAAAGGAACCTGCCACCAAGCCTAAGGATCTGAGTTCAGTCATTTGAGTCCATATGGTAGAAGGAAAGAAACAATTGCCACAAGATGCCCTCTGACTTCCGTATGTGTCCAGTGGCACATGCACACAACATACAATAAATAAAATGTAATTTTAAAAAGTTTGACAACTTGAAGGGGCTGGAGTGTAGTTCAGTGGTAGAGTGTGTGCTTAGCATAATAAGGCTCAAGGCTTAATCCCCAGCAAGAAAAAAAGAAAAGAGAAACCTGCAACTCTAAGTCCCCAGCAACATACTGAGCTTTCTTCTTCTAAATAAATATTCATATATATAACTGGGGAGAGGATTCCTTTTAAAGTATCCTCCACCAAATGAGTAAAAGGAAATTTCCTGTCACACTGAGTTTCTCTATCCTAGAACATAGACACATATTGGGGAGTGGGAGTTTGTTGTAGTTTTAATAGCCAAAATAAAATAATAAACATTTAACCAGGAATTAAAATATAGCATTTCCTTTTTCAGCATAATAAAAAGAATTCACCAGGTTTTTTAAAACTACTAAATTAATGAATTAATGAGTGACTTATTTGAACACATTAAAGAATTTGTTTCAGCCGGGAGTGGTGGCTCATGCCTGTAGTCCCAGCACTTGGGAGGCAGAGGCAGGCGGATCTCTGTGAGTTCAAGGCCAGCCTGGTCTGCATAGTGAGTTCCAGGACAGCTGGGGCTACAGGGAGACCCTGTCTCAAAAAGACAAAAAAAAAAAAATTAGTTTCATATCAGATAACCACTGATTAGATCAAAACATAGAATAGGAAATCAAAATTAAATTCTCTTTTTCACATTTAAGAACTAGACTGGGAATCCAACCCAGGTCCTCTGCAAGAATAGTCAGTGCTCTTAACTGCTGAACCATCTCTACAGACCTTCATTGGAATAGGTTATTATGTGAGAATAAAAGGTACCGAACTATATATTATCCTACATGCATTACTTTAAGAACTCAATGCTACCCAAATATACATTTATAGAACAGAATTCTGTAAGAAAAAAATACTATTCTATTTTTTTAGCCGGGGGCGGGGGCGCATGCCTGTAGTCCCAGCACTTGGGAGGCAGAGGCAGGTGGATCTCTGTGAATTCAAGGCCAGCCTGGTCTACATAATGAGTTTGTCCTAGTTTGTTTCTCCATTGCTGTGACAAAACACTCTGACCACTATCACTTGGGGAAGAAAGAGTTTGTCTTACATTTCCTGGGTCACAGTTCATCCAGGAGCCCAAGGTAGAAACTCAGGGCAGGGACTCGGAGGCAGGAGCTGGAGCACAGGCCATGGAGGAATGCTGCTTACTGACTTGCTCCCCTGGCCCCTGTTCAACCTCCTTTCTTATGCAACATAGGCCCACCTGCCCAGGGGTGGCACCACCCACAGTGGGCTGGACCCTCCCACATCACTCAACAATCAAGAAGGTGCCCCATGGACATGGTCACAGGCCAGTCCAATGAAAGCAATTCCCCAAATGAGGGTCCCTCAACCCAAGTGTGTCAAGTTGACACTAAAGCTATCCAGCACAGAGTTCCAGGACAGCTGGGGCTACAGGGAGACCCTATCTCAAAAAGCAAAAAAAAAAAAAAATTATATTTTTAAGAAAAATAGCATTGTATTCACTACAATTTGCTAGGACCAGGATAGGGTAAGTGATTTTTCTATATTTTGAATTTCCTTAATGTTTTAAAATTAGCGTACAATTTAATAAAAAAAAAAGGAAAACAAAAGTGTCCGCCCTCCATATTATGTGGTTATTAGGATCCACTTCTCCTAGATTCTCCTGGTTACATTCACTGAGAAGTTTGACTTCTGTATTTACATAGCTGCTGCTTCTCTAGTATAGGGAATATAGCTTTCATCCCATTCCTTTCTTTAAAAAAATATTTTATTTATTATTTATGTGTGTGTGTGTGTGTGTGTGTGTGTGTGTGTGTGTATGTGTATTCCCTGCATGCATGTGAGCACACCTGTGTCATGCAATGCCTGGAGAGGTCAGAAGAGAGTATCAGATCCCCTGGAACTGGAGTTATGGATGATTTTTAGACACCATGAAGGTGCTAGGATTCAAACCTGGGTCCTCTGCAAGAGCAGAACCATCTCTCCCTTTACATATTCTTTTTTTTTTTTTCTTTTGGTCTTTTTGAGACAAGGTCTCCATATAGCTCCAACTGGCCTGGAACTCACTATGTAGACAAGACTGGCCTTGAACTCACAGAGATCCCCTGCCTCTGTCTCTGGAGTGCTAG